TTTTTAAAATTGGGCTTACTATGAAATGAGTGTCTGAATACTCTCCCTCTTAGCAAAGAAAAGGATGATGATGATGATGATGATGATGATGATTTTGCTGAGCAGAGTATCATCTCTAGTACCTGTCTGTCATATCTACATTTTTTCTCAGTCCCTAAACTGGCTGAAAGGCTACTCTCTTATGCCACCTAGGGATCACGAAAGAAAATTCTTGATCCTGCCTGCCAGAGGACTGGAAAGAGCAACTAGCTAAGGACAATCTCTGACCTGTCAGCAGTGAGCTTTTTTTCTTGGAACTCACTGCCAATCCATTTTCAGACTGAGATACCAATTCAGCACATCTACTCTTGACTCAAGTTAAATGGAAAAGGAGGGTGAAGTTGAGTCTATATTGTAAATCCCCAGTAACCTCACTTGGTGGCTTTGGGTAGATGGTAAAATGCTTGGAAAGTCTTGTATCCAGACTGCCACAAAACTCTGCAACATTCCTAAAACAGGTCTTTAAAGTTAAAAGAGCCATTGGATTGCAGTGTCCCAGTTCCCATCTTGGACAGCCTATCCAGAAGGCTACTGTGATCAAAAGTATTGAAAACTGCGGAGAAGTCCAGCAGAATTAATGGGATCCCACGGTCAAAGCAACCAAAGCAATTTTGGCAACCAAAATATTAAAACTTGTCCTGAAAGCAGTATTAGTGGTGCAGTAGCTAGTTATGGGTTATCAGTTGGAGGTTTCAAGCTTCTTCATCTCCTTGAAGTTCATAAGTAGATCTTGGTGAAAAGCATTTGCTCTTAGCCATATCATTTCTTCACTCTGATTAAAAGACAATAGTTCTAGCCATATTTTTGGGCTGCAGTGATGCCCTCTATGAATTATGTGTAGTCAGATTAAATTACAAGCATGGTTAGTGGGATATTGGCTTGGGCTGGAAGGGCTGAACTGATTTGTAGTCAGTTCCAGAACTTAGTATGTGTTGGTGCTTAAAGGCCTTGATAAGCTAATTACTATACTGTCTGAGCTTCTTCCCTACCTTCTTTGGCCTTCTAAGCCATTATGTATGAAGAGAGCTTTTTCACTTCTCCTGTCACTTCCATCACTCCATGGATGGAATGTTTGCTAAATGTCATCCTTTCAGGAGCTGACTTTAAATTGTTAAAGTTTTGTATTAAATGTATTAAAATAAATTATGTCTAGTATCATTGGCTAGATGAAAAAAAAATTGAACAGATTCATAGAAGCTTTTCATAGTCTTAAAACAGTGTATTTCTGGATGATAAAAGGAGTATTGACTGTTCCTGTGATGGGAAAGGCAAATGGGGAAGAAAATTTCCCTGTTATCAAAGTACTCTTGATTTCTTTGAATGCAAAATTAATCTTTATAAGCATTATTGTATCAGAGACTTGAGAAGTTCACAATATTGTCATCTTTAAAAAGTTTGGAAGATAACATGCTATGCAGATTATCAGTTTTTTCCTTTATGCTCCTGCTTGGCATGGAGGACTATATCATTCAATTTTATGAAGTAAATACACTCATTGTTTTTTTCTAATTTAGTAGGCAATATCTTTGAAATACAATTTAAAATACAATTTAAAAGAGTGATGAAAAGGGAAAATTAGAGAGTATAAGTATCTGTGGTTTAAATTACTCTGATTTGTCAAATTTTTATATTTTATATAAAGAGTTACATGCAATATACTGGATTTTTTAAAAATTCCTAAATATTTGTGCAAACTTTATCAATGTATTCCCCCTTCACCTTTTATTAGGCATCACCAGGTTTGATCTCCTTGGAGACTTTGGAAGATTTAACTGGTTAGGAAACTTCTACATAGTATTGTGCTACAATCTACTTTTTGCTATCATGACAACCCTGTGCCTAGTGAGAAAGTTCACCTCTGCAGTTAGAGAAGAACTCCTCAAAGCATTAGGTAACACACTTTCTCTTTCTTTTGTGATAGTCATTTTTTAAATCTATTCACTTGAAATTGTCCTAGAGATTACTGACTTGATTATGCTAGGGAGAATGATTAATTATTAAGTGCTTTCCTGTTCTCTCTCTGTAAAGCTTGAATTGAGAACTGTTTACTGCCGTTCTGCCTACTTGGTAGGGAAATTCATACATCATGCATTGCTTGAGTGCGCACGCATACACACACACACATACTCTGTCTCTACGTTTGAAGAACAAATGATTTATCTGTTAACATTTGTATCCTGCCTTCCACCAGGCGGAAACTATGCTCAAAGCAGATAGTAATAAGATACAAAATAATAAAAATATAAGCGAGGCAGGTAAACCACATCAATAAAACTAATAAAAATACTTAAATTCATTGTAGTATACAGTAGTCATAAGATTAAAATGTTAAAAGCCTTGGTGTGTAATTAGGTTTTTAGCCCACAATTCTAATGAAATTCATTGGCAGTTTGTTTCATAATGGACTCTGCTGTAGAGAAAGCAGAATAAACTGTTGATGATAAATGTATCCTCAGCTCCATGTACGGCCTAAGTCCAGAATCAACTGTAAGGAAGTTGGCAGCCCTGTAAATCCTTGGGCCTAAGTTGTGTAAGACATTCTACACTGTCAGGAGCAGCTTGAATTGGGCATAGAAGACAGCTCCCCATTTCAATACTAGGATTACCCTTACTACTCACACTACCATATTCTGGGCCAGCTGTGATTTCCAGGCCATCATCATGGGAGGTGCCATGAAGAGTGCTTTACAATAATCTGGCTTTGAGGTATCAGTGCATGAGTCACCAAAGCCAGATGTCTCCTCCATGTAGGAATGCATTCAGCATTATCGACTAAAGCAGATAAGAAAGTCCTCCTTCTGACTGATATTTTGTGATTACCAATATCAGTGCTAGATCTAGGAACCCTTCAAGGTCCAAGCTTTAGGGTCTTCAGTGCAATTTTTTAGATCAGTTGTCACCTTAGTCAGAGGATTCTGCCAGTGAGTGGGATGTCGTCATCATCATTATCATCAATTAAATTTATATCCTGCCTGACTCCCAGTGACTCTGGATGATATCAGGTGCCCCAGCAAAATCACTGTCTTCACCTGGCCATTCAGAATAAGGTGCATGCCCTTGAAATGGAAAAACACCCAAATAGCAAGCTGAAAAGGAGATGCTATTGTGACAGGCCATCATAATACTGTTTTCTCAAGCTTTAGGTCTGTGCCATTCTCATGTTGGCATACCATGCTGGCAGGAAGTGGGCCTAAATAGTGGTCCTGGCCATTTCATGGCTACTATGCATCTGGTTAGCCCTATTGATGCCTTATGAGATCCTAGATATTACACTTTTTATTAGAAATTAATTTAGTGTACGTATGATGAGATTTCTAAACAAAACCTTATTCATAATAAATCATCTAGTGACACCTCCTTGAATAAAGATGTTTTGCTGGTAGAAGGAAATCATAGCTGGGGCCAGACCAACTCCAACAAGACTCCTGGCACAGCTGCTTAAGAAGTTGGGATAACACAAATTATGGCCTTTCCTGAGGGTCTTGAAACTTGAGTTGGCTCAAATGATTTTTAGATAACTTGCTCCTGAAATAGACCAATAGCCAATTTAGCTGTTGTGGTACAGGATCTCTGTAACCAACTGTCTAGAGGCCGCATTCAAATATTTTTAAAGATAGCTTATTCAGAGCATACTATAATGTACAAACATGCATACGTACATGCCTCATATTTACTGTCAATATAGGCAATATTATAGAGAGTGTAGAACAGGACCAAGAAATAATAACTCAAATAAAAGTTAAGAGAAAAAAATAAAAGGAAATGTAGCTAAAACTGGTTTACAGGGATACTATTCACTTTTCTACATTTTTCTGTTCTTGCAAGCCACCCTTGCTTCCATTGCATTCATACACTGCTTCATACATTGCCTTTTGTTTTTTAGATTATTTCTATTATTCTTCCTTCTCCTCCTTTTCATTATCATATCTTTATTTTGATCATAGACCAGTATAAAATAACTTCAGTGACAAACTCGCACTTCCCCTTTTTTTTCAAAATCTCATCAACAACCTCCAGCTGTGATTTTCTTTCCCTTCCTTTTGACCCATTCTTCCTTCATATTTGTTTTACAATTTGATCTTTGTTTGTCGTCACTATATGCCAAACACAGGATACCTGTGTTACTTACTTTTGTATTGTCTGCTACATACCTCTTCATTCTTTACCTATCACTGCTAGTTTTACCATATACCTCACTTCCATTGCATTCAGTTTGAAGTTTCCTTCATACCCAACTCTCCCTTTCATATAAAAGAGTGGATAGTAGCATACTCATATACACCAACATTTTACATCTTAAAATTTCTTTAACCATTTCCCCATCTTTAATCATCATTCTACAAGGGTACATGAAGTCATCTACTTGCTCTAGTTTTTTTACCATGTATATATAACTTGGAGATGGTGACTGTAGTTTGTTTCACATTCACAGCTGCTTATTACCCTTAAATCCTTCACCCTTAAATCCTTAATTCTCTCAATTTTTCATCATAAGCAATCAAATCAATCATGCTTTTAGATTTATATTAATTCCTTTGCCATATATATGTGTGCAAGTACTGTAGACTTAGGCTTAAAGTCTGGTTACTTGAAATAAGCAGATTTTTTTCTAAGCAGATACTCACCAGTGCCATTCTCATTCATTCTGAGTCTCTTACTTCATTCCTGCCCATCCATTCAGGCCACCTAACAAAATAATTCCTTTCTAACCCTAGTTGCATTCATTTAGAAAGTTGTGCAGTTTATCCCAAAACGCATCTCTGGTTTTTCCACTAATACTACCCACCCTAATCCTATCACCAACCTATGGATTTGATACACTCTCACAGCAAGCTAGATAACACCAGTTTATATTTGACACCCATTTAGCCCTTTCATTTATAATTCCTTCCCTGCATGTATCCATCAACTCTTCACCATAGGATCAGATCACATTTATTTATATCTATTACATCCTACCCTTTTCTCTTAGTGTAATGAATAGGTAGGATGCCTATTTTTCTTTATTTCCTTCGATTCATTTATTCATGCTTTTACTGTTTGCTTCTCTTACATTCCAAGTTGCAGTCTTCCATATGCCACCATTGTCACTGGATGGACCTATAGATGTTGACCTCCCTTGCCCATCATGCCTTTGGTCAGTTGAGTCTTTCACATAATGCTTTTTAGTAAGACGGAAAAGGCGTAGGCTAGGACAACAATCTTAATTGTGCCTGTGCCATATGCAGAGTTTTTGCTAATGATAAGGACAGTACTATGCTCAAGTATTACTTTGGTTTTATAATGTGCCATGCCAGTTAGAAATGAAGTATAAACTTTACACTGTCTTACTGTGTTTTGCAGGTTTAGATAAACTGCACCTCTCGCACAATGCAAGAGACTCTGAGACAGCAAAGCCTTCTGTAAATGGGCATCAGAAAACACTGTGAAACGCAGTCGGTGGAAAGCTTCCTGACATTCCTCTCACTTCATTGTACTTGTTTTCTATTGCTCTTACTTGTTTATACCTTGGGTCCAGGTTGATGCAAAAGAAAGCTGGGTGCCTCGGACTGTAGTCTTCTGCCTTGGATTGATCTATTTTAATTTCTCTGTCAACTGGAGATGTGTCTTGAACATTCCTCTTTGAACAGACCTTCATACTGATCTCTGCATCCAAGGACAAGAATCTTCTGCGCATAAATTCATTGGTGAAGATGAACTTGGGAGATGAGCTTGCTATCTGAAAATGGCAAACATCTACTCAAGAGGTTGATTTTCCAGTAAGATTGCATTCTGAAAACTTGTGAGAGCACAATAAGGCTCAGGATCAGTACATTAATCTACCCATCAAATCAGTTTGCACTATGATTGTATCTAAGGTAATAGCAGTTCTTAGTTCTAACTGATAAACTGCCCCATTTATTGCTAGGGATAATTTTCATTGCAAACCCTGATTGTGCAATAACATCATCTTACAACTGCAATGCTAAATCTGAGCCTGGAAAACAGTAATTGTAGACTTCTGATCATTGTATGCATAATCATGCCTAAAAACGTGGTTGTCATACTCTACTAAATAATATGAACAGAAAATGTGTGTAAAATATACGTATGTATAAACAGCGAGAAGAAAACAATTGCATCTAACTTTCACAAAGTTATCTTTAAATGATTGCCCATTCCTAAGACTGATTAGTGATTCAGTGTATTTTATTTTGCTGAACAAGGTATTTTTTTATTAATTCTTTTAATTATGTGTACATATATCTTTTTTTTTATGAAAGCAGAATTGAGCTAGTATTTCACCTAGTTTATAGTATGAAAACGTAAGATTAGACGATATTCAGGGGGTTAGATATGATATAGTTGACACAGCATATAGTTGGATATTGCTACACTGTTGAAGTTTACAAAACCCTGTGTGAGAGAGACAAAAAGCTGAAGGAAGTTAAAGCTGAATTTATTCACTAATGTACTGTGAGTAGAGGCAGGTAGATTGTAAAGACCACTGTGATTATTGAGTATGATGGAATGACCCTATTCCATGTATAATGATAGATTGATCAAGGACAGTTTATTGGGACTTTGTAACTTCAAGCATTTCACTTTGTGGAAAATCTGTTACTATGTTAATCTCTGTAAATCCAAAGTCTCAAACATAGTCTCAACATATTGCACAATATCCAGATATTTAATTCAGGTGTTTTGGATTACGATATTGCTAATTTCAAAGGGTTCATGAACATCTTTTCTATTGATTCCATTGACTGACCAGTATGAAGTTCTTGGACATCAAAAACTTTTTTCCTTACTTTTATACTGTTTCTTCTATTAATGAATTTTGCATTATTTGGAAGGTAAGAATTGTAGCAAATATATAATAGGAATTTTTCTAGCATAGCCAATGGAAATGATAAATAAAACACTCAAAAGGGGGATTCTAAGAATTTGGGTTGTTTGCTACAGTGGAAGCTGTAGCTTAGTTAGCTCACTATTTCAAATATTGAACCCTCTATCACAATTTGAAATAGTAGTAATCAATTTTAGGATCAGTTTGGCTCCCTTACCATGATACTATAATTCAAATATATTTTTTAAATATGATGAACTGCTGTGATAAACCGATAGTATATCTAAGTAGAGCTGAATTCTTGGAAAAAAACTTGTGGCATCTATGTCTATCTTGCCTAGGGAAACATTCAGGAAAAATATGATAGTGAATTTACTCAAGGGTGTGATTTAAGTCCTTGTTTCCTTGTGAATTTATCTCTAGATTGAGAACACAGTTGAAACCATGTGAACTTTTAATTTGCAGCAAGTTCTTCTTAAACTAATTTGTAACAACACTTGAAGAACAATCACTGTAATTGTCAGTGGAAGAAGAATCTCCTACATGGACACTGATTAAAGGATTAATTCATTGCAAACTCATTTGAGTACAAATCCCCATTCAAGTAAGGAATTATGCTGGAAACGAAACACTTCCTTAGCCATTCTGGATTAGTTCACATTAATGATACTTAAATTGAAAGAGGTTCCCTTTTAAAAAGTGGGAAGGCACTTACTACTGAAGGCTTACACAACGTGCAGTTTTTGTGATCAGTTGAACTTTCCAGCCCATGTATTGACATGCATTTGAATATTTTTGCCTTTGCCTTAGAAACATTTTACATCTTAATGTGGTCCTAGTGCTGGCGTAGCACCTGTTTCCTAACAATATAGAAAGATTGCATACAATCTCATTTTAAAAATGCTATTCTTCTTTTATCCCTGTACACAGATTTATGATACATTATTTTGAAAATGAATGTTAGACAAGTGGCATCAGAAAGGTATATATCTATATGATGAGCTCCTCTGTTCCTTGGCTTTGTCTGTGTAAAATGGCCTATTGTAAACTACTTTGGAGTTTTTACTTGCCACTATGTTTTAAAAAAATGATTCAGAAATACTTTACAAATTCAGAAAAGACATATTTTGGTTCATAATTCATTGTATACAGATCCCTAGTGGTTTGACACTTGGAGTCAAGTACCCTGTACTTCTTAAAATACAAAAAGGTTTTCTTCAGGTATCAACCTTTGCCTCATTTATTATGAGGTTTAAGCACAAATATGCTTTTCTTAAATGTACTAGGTATCTATCAAAGTAGACCAAAAATGTGTGCAAAACAAGTGTTTCAAGTAAGCATTTGTTTGGCTTTCTCCATGATAGATTTGATAACACAGTGTGAACACATTACAACAGATTTGTTGTTGCAGACTTTGAGCAAATCTTTGCTATTCACCTTTTAAAGCTAAGCTTAAGTGGACACAGGTTTATTCAGAAGTAGTGTTTACTAGGACACTTGGTTTACTGAATGTAATGTGGTGAACTTCACCCTTCTTTATTCACACTTTTACACATTTGCCTGTTTAGTGTTGATTAAAGTATTTGACAAGACATTCCTCTGTGACTTGATTCTAAGGAGTTTTATTCAAAACAAGCTTTAAAATTGTATATGGTGGTATAAAGCTTGCATCACATTCACACACCGCATAGCGTGCTACTTCCATATTCCAATTCATAAGTATTTGATTTATACTGGAACAGCACTTCTTTTTTTTTTGCTGATCTACAGTATCTGATGAAGGTCTTCAAAGAAATGTGGATGTACTAGTGTTGTGAAATATATATCCTTCTGCGTAAGTGAGGTTTCTGGGTAGCTTAACAGTGTCCTTAAAATCTTATCATTTCTAAAACTCTTCTATCTAAATTAGAGGTAGGTGGTAATTTGCAGTCATAAGGCCATATGCATCTTTTGACCTAATTTCACAAGTTTAATAAATACATTTTTCAGCAATCAACTTGGGCCTCAGGAAACAGTAATCTATCTCCCTTTGCTGACATGGAAGAATGTGGGGAGGAGATTTAAGAGTGTGTGGAAAAGGAGACAGCAAAGAGAGAAAAGGGTTCTTAGGGGAAAAATAGGCGATCCCATTTAGTTTGCTTCAGCTTCATTCACCAGTGGCATGTAGCTTCTAACAGATTATCCTCAAGCCCCTGATCAAAGAAAACACATTGCCTATCCCAGGCATAAATGGACTGAACAAAACCCATGTGGGAACAGAAGGTGCTCTTTGTTATTGAGACATTTTGTGAGGAAAGTTTCTTGAGCTGTACTAATGCAATTCTTGCCTTAGCCTGAACAAGTGTCAGGATTATAGAATCTTGCAAGTATTGTCAAAAAAGCTTCTGAGCTCCAGGCAAAGTATCTCCACCCCAGATAAGTTGTCCCCAGCGGTTGCTTCAGTTAATTAATCCTACCCCCATCTCTCGAAATGTGATCTCACTGTTCTCCCATATATGGGCCTACACAGAACTTGCAAAAAAGCAGTTCCTGTCACTGTCCAGGAGGAGAGTCCTATCGTTCATTTCCAAAACCAGTTATCTATATTCTTTGGTTGCTGCATAGAACTAACAGGAACACACTCTTCCTACTTCCTTAAACAATGCATTAGAGTGTACAGTGAGTGGACAGGACAGTGTTGGTCAAGAACTTTACAGGAAAATCTCATCTGTGGCTTGCAGGGACACATTCTACACATACAGCTATAAATACCCATATGCAGAACATCAGTCACCAATAAATAATGGCTTCCCGTTAGAAAAGTTACTAGAATCACAAACCTTTGCAGAGCATTACAGACAGTCCCTGGGTTAAGAACGTCTGACTTACAACTCATGCTTACAAAAGGGCTGCCTGTTACTAAAAAGGGTGGACTGCTGAAGCTGTGTGTTTTTAATATACAGCCTGTTTTCAGCGGTTCATGAAAACGTTGCAAGGCTTCAGCGATTTCTTGGCTCGAGGAAGGAGAACGCTGTCCACCATTTTTAGTAATGGGAAGCCCATTCATAAGCACGAGTTCCAACTTACATATACATTCGACTTACGGACAGACTTAGGAACAGATCTCGTTCTTAACCTGGGAACTGTGTACTTTCCAAAGGGAGGCCTAATGAGAATTCAGGAGTAGCCAAAGCATCAATTGTTCTTTCTGTTGTCTTTGGATAACAGGTATATATAAAGTCCTCCTTTTGGTCAACAGATGTCTGGTAGGCCAAGGAGGGAAAATAAGATGTTCAGCTTACAGAATTTTATGAAGAACTGGTTGGTTACAGTTATTCCGGTGTCCCCATGGACTTGGAGCTTTTCTCCCTTTCTTTCAATCCACTGTTAACACAGGCATCTGTGGGACTGTCTCATGCAAATATTCAGTTGAAGTGGCACGGATGAGAACTGGAACCCTACCATAGATCTTAATGGCTTGCGTATCTCTAGATTACGGACAGCACTCCCTAGGTTTACACACAAATGCGCTCATCAGAAAAAACAAATCTGCGCAGCACCTCTTGTTGCTGAAATGCAAATTCAAACACTTTTAGATAAATTATTTCTACTAAGGTTTCTTACAAATATATTTGTAATTTATGTTAGATTGTTAGTCGAGAATTTTCTTCTGATAACAGGAACGGCATAAAGGACATACAGGCCTTTCTCCTAAAGAAAATTCTTCAAATGCTTGAAGACAGATACTATGGAACACATGGGAACAGGAGAGCAGCACCGTCTGACGGGGGCGTGACTGATGGCCATCTTGGGAAAATCCATCCTGAAGTTGAGCAGGCTGCATGAGTGGCATAATGCAAATTGGACAGTCAACAATATCTTGTCGGAATGCCTGAAACAAAAAGTGTTGGTAAGCTCAGAAAATACAGCGTGTGACCACCAAAGCTGACTTGTATGAGTTTATTACGTCCTTCGTACTCTGAGATGATTGTTTCTGGTTATAGTAGTTCAAGTGCTTCATTTATTCAAGAACAAAAAACATTTTAAGTGCAGAAATAGTTTGGACTAATTCTTGGTCATTAAAATGCTAACGCTGAACAGTAAAGATAACATAGCAAGTAAGGTAAAGTCGTGTGTGCTGCTAATGCTAAATTTGTTCGGGATAATTGGCAAGAATCAACAGCTGTCTTTGTTATGCAAGCAAAACACACAAGATTACATACAAGTGTAGTTTGGTGGAAGGAGCTGTAGACTTGGATCAGAAAAAGGGTACTGGTCTAACTTCATATTCAGCCACAAACTTTAGTGACTGTTTGTGGGCCCTCAGACCACGGGTTTGCTGTAAGAGCAAAGTGGGATCATACCATGTACGTAATTCACAGTACAGGTAGTCCTTGCTTACTGACTGCTTGTTCAGCGACCATTTGAAGTTATGATGGCACTGAAAAAGGAGACTTATGACCAGTCCTTGAAGTTGCAGCTGTCATGGCATTCCTGCAGTCACGTGATTGTGATTCAGGCACTTGGCAACCAGTGCGCATTTACAGCGGTCGCAGCATCCCACAGTCACATGATCACTATTTGTGACCTTCACAGCTGGCTTCTGACAAGCAAAGTCAATGGGGAAGCTGGCAGGAAGTTGCAAGTCATGGTCACCTGATGTTGTGCTTAACAACCGCAGGTGATTTGCTTAACAACTGCAGCCAGAACCAACATTAGTGTGGTCATGTGACAGTTTAGTTAATGACTGTGCCACTTAGCAACGGACTTGCTGGGCCCAATTGGGGTCAGTAAGTAAGGACTACCTGTAATAGTAAGGGGAAGGATACAAATGGAGTAAGAGAAAAGTCAGTTACCAATCAATTATAATACATATAACTACCTCAAGGTAAATGAAACAAGAGGTTTTTCTGACACTGAAACCAACCTGAATCTGAATTTTTTCCCACTCAACTTCATGTATCTCTGGGCCCAACTTTTTTTCTAGTTGCTGAAATACTTCTTGACTTGCAGCTACAGTAGAATCTATCTCAGAGAAGAATTCATCAATGTGAGTATCATAGGAATTCAACAATCGTTGGCAGATCTCTGTAAACTGGAAGATGAGACAAATATTTTTATTGTTAATGAGTTAAAAGTGGAGTCCCAAAGGGTCCATGTAGCATCAGTCCAAGAATGTCTCTTTTGCAGGACGTGCAAGATTTTTTTCTGGCTCAAGTCAAACACAGTCTAATAAGAATCCTCTCTGTTCTTGATAGGTCCGAATAGAATGGTCTGAAAGAAAATATTTTCTGCATCTGCTGTTAGAGATTGTAAAGCAAGACTCTGGAACACAATATAGCAGTTGCTTTCACTTCTGTATCAAATTTAGGGGAATAGTAGTACAATGAAATAAATGACCCTTTTCAAAGGCCTAAATTAAGTATCAGTCAAATTAGACTGTGTTAATATCTTAACAAGTGGAGCTCTACAACGGATTATAATTCATGCTTTTTTTTCTCTAAATATCCCCCTCTCCCCACCCCCGGGTAGTGAAGGACACATTTTGGGTGCTTGATGCTGGCTGCTTCAGTACTGATTTCTCCATTCTGTTCCTCCCCCCAAAACCTTCAGGCCCACTGAACCTCCTCACTATTTCTTTGGCCTAGTTGAGGTTCCCTCTTCTGTATTTTGGATTTAGAGAGTGGACACACTAATCAAACTACATCATTATCTCAAATGTCCTACTGATTCTATAGCAGATCTCATGTCTGTTGGGATATTTTTAAAAGTTCATCAGCAAGAATATTATAAGCATCTAAACAAATGATAGCTTCAGATTCAGTCACTGCAAGAATAAAAAAACGGCTGAAATTAATGGGACTCACTAAAAGCCTACTGATTTCAGTGGGCACTCTAAGAATTAAACCTAATTCAATAAAACATGATGGACCTTTCTTCAATTTGTGTATCTATGTGATTGTCTCTCTTTCCTTTCTGTTCATTCCATTCCATGTTTCTCCCCCTGCTCTCGTCAATTTCCCTTGCTAGGTGCTAGTGAGCATTGGTTCACTTGCTGCAGTCCCATGTATTCTTTCAAGCTACTATTGCTTGATTTCCCAAGCATATTTACCAGGGATGCTAAAGATGGAATCCAGCATGCAAAATATTTCTCTACAATTGACCTAGAGCCCTTCCTTCCTCAGGGAACAAATGCAGCCGCGTGCGTGCGCACACACACACAATTTCCAGCCAACTGCACACCTGGAACCACCTAGTTTTTCTACTTGGTATTGTGGAGCCTTGGTGCTCTTTGAGCTTGGCTGTTCGCTTGCAGACATTTCATTGCCCAACTAGGTAACATCAGTGCACACTGATGATGTTACCTACTTGGGTAATGAAATGTCTGCAAGCGAACATCCAAACTCAGACAGTGCCAAGGACTCCACAGTTCACCTTGAGCTACATATATTCTCTTCTACTGGAACTACTTGGTATTGTAGTATCTGACTCACTTGGATGGCACAGGCTACATGGCTTACCTTCTTCTCCTAAAGCTATTTCTCCATCAGAGTAACACTCTAGATTTCTTTACACGACTTTTATTGTTGTTTATCATTTCTGTGCACTACTGAATTATGTATGTTCCGATCTACTGATATTATATCTTGCAGCAACAGGATATCTATCTTTAAAGTTGTAGAACTGGCTTTGCAAGATTCCCCTCCCCCTTTTATTTTTCAGGTGAAATGAAGAGATGGGGACATTTGCAGAAAGCAAAATTAGGGTTGTCCTTAATTTCTTCTCCTTGACCACAAAGTAGTCAGATGGTTTTTTTGTTTGTTTTTTGCTTAAATTCTCAACATGCACATGTGTAGTAGAGTTATAAATAAATACAAAATATTTTTGTTCTAAAACTTGCACACTTAGGCTGATATACACATAGTTTACTACCTGCATCTTCTTCCCCACACCAATGTGAAGGAGAGGCAACATATGTTCAAACCATTTATTTTTTTCTTCAAAAGAAAAATATTTAACAAATGTAAACAACACGTTTGCAATTTTAAAAAGGAGAAATTTTACTTTCCAAGAAAATGGCCATTCTGAAAACTATTCTCTATCCAAATTCGGTACTTTCCTTTGTCACTTCTGTGCTTTTCAACATGCACAATATGACAGTGGAGGCATTCTAAACATTTTTAGCTGTATGTAAAGCACCATCAGTCACAGGTTTTAGGTGACGCCCAAGAACATGATTAAATAAAGATGCACACAAAAGCATCAAAATGAACTTTGTCTGCCAAGGGGAGCTGTTTTAAAGCAATCCATCTTTATGTCAGCAAATTGCTTACTAATGTGTTGACTTAAAAGTAAAATGAAAAGCCTGGAATTTACAGCGTATCAATGAATCAGTTGATAAGCTTTTACTAGTTTAATATCCTCTTAGCTTGCTGCCTGGAGCCACATCAAGTTAGCAACAGAATGTTTGCCATCTCTATGTGATAAAGGAAGTCAAATGGCTAAACAAACTCCCAGACCATTATGTTGTTTGGTGAGATTTAAATTAAAAACTTTGGGAAGAAATCACGTGGTGAGGAAGGAGTGAGCAGTACCATTTTATAAATAATATACCTTGTTTCAGGAACAATAGCTGCCTTTTTAGCTGGACTGAAGATAATGGAATGCATTTGAAAAGATTTAATTATAGCAATAAAAATTTTTTAGCTCAGTTAGATGACATATACAAGCACTGTTTATAGCTAACAGTCAAACAGGTTCACTATCTAACACATGGAAATCTAAACAGCATTTCATTCTCTGTGTACGTTAGTGTTAAAAATTAGCATAGATTGCTTGGAGTAACTTTTCCTACTTCCTTTGATCTAAATTAGCAAGGTTTCTAATTGATTTATGTAATAAAGCTATTTAGTAATAAAGTAGATTCAACAATGATCTCTCACAGGATCTAACTTTGGAATTTATCATTGCCAAAACTTGACCCTTGGTTTATATGTTCTTATCAATGAATACATCTTTTAACTTAGCGACCCTCAGTACTTTGTTCATGTTACCCTTTGAGAAAATAAACTTGTATTTCAGAAACCTTGGGGTCTTCTTACAATCTATAAACAAGGTGGACCAATGAATGTTTACTCAAAACTAAATCACAAATCAATGGGTCTTGCTCCCAAGGAAATAGACTGGTTTGCAGTTCACATGCTTTTAGAAAATGGCATTGACTGTAATAACTAGAAATAATTTACCTAGAAGAAGCTGCCAGTGATTTCCCACTTTAGGGAGGTGATGGGGTCTGAGGTTTGGCAGTGATGTTTTTTTAGTAGCAGTTCCAGCCTTTTGGAATGACCTCCCAAAGGATATCCAGGTGGCTCCTACTATGACTGCCTTTTGGAAACAGACTGAAACAGAACTTTTCCAGAGGATTTTGGGCCATGATACAATCTTGGTTGGGTTACAGATGAGCTTTGGAATTTAATTAGTATTCTATGCTTATTAATTGTATATTTTTAATTGGGTGCTCTAATTGTATATTGTTTATTGTATATTTTATCTTGTAAACTGCTGAGACTGTAATGGTCTACCAAGGTGACAAATAAATAAAAGAGACAAAATTAGATACAGCAGTATCTCATCCAGCTAGATTTAGGCTTGACAATTCTGAGGACAAATGAAAAAAAAAAATTCAAAAGTGGAAGGAAGTTGCATGATTAGCAGAAATAGTCTCACATAATTAGGATAGGCTGAGAATGTGGTTTTTCTGCAGACATGAAGACAGGTAATAATAAATCTTATACTGTACATCTGCCAAACTGGGAGGAGGGTACACTCTGAGCTTTATGCTTCCTTCCCCAATTCTCCCTTTCTAGGACTCTTATTCTTTTAGGTACTCTTCCTATGTACATTTTATGCATTTCTTAGATTTCATCCTTCCTCCAGTTGCTCAGGAAACTTCCACTGCGTTTTCCCTTCATTTACAATGGCCCTGTGCAGGAGATTGGGCTGGGTGTGTGTGACTGGCCCCAAGTCATCCAGTGAGTTTCCACTGCTGAAGATGGACTTGAACCTGGCTCTCCCTGATTGTAGTGCAACATTTTAACTGCTCTCCCCACTGGCCTTAATGTATACGTGAAACCATATGCGTACAGCATATGGAAGAAAATGAATTATATGCTTTCATTGGTATTTCCTAGGCTCTGAAAGATTTCTTTTTAAAGAAAGAATCTTTACTAGATTCTGTTGCTTTAGCCTAAGCATGGGAGGGAGAAGGAAAGTAGCTTTTCTTCTGGAGATGCATACAACCATGCCGTGCATGGAACCACCATTTTGGGGTAGCCCACACCCAAACCGAAGCATGAATGCTTCAGATGTTTGGATTCATATGTGAACAAAATCAGGCCATTTTGTTCTGAATGCAGATTTGATAAGCACTGAATTTGTTTTGATTTGTAGCGTCGCAACATAATATATTTTGAAATGTGAGAAATGCCTACCTTTTCTTCAAAGAATTTTTTTCTTAATCTCACATCTTTGGGAGGTACTGTATTTCTCAGATTTTTATACCATTTTCTAACAATATGACCCCTCCAGAAAGCTTGAATTCTGTGGCATAAAAAGAGAGTCTTTTACAGATTTGAATACTGAAAATAAAATATAAAAGGTGTCAAAAATAGAAGATTGTTTTTGTCATTTGCCAGTCATTCTTACCTCGTAGCACATTTTATTTTAAAAAGGCGGGCTCCATCATGAATGACTCGTGTTTGATACTGGATCTTTCTACACATTGGACAGCTCTTTTTAGCTGCAAACCTTTCAAAAGCTTTCAGGCATGCCTGGAAAAATAATATTAGTTCTAACTATAAACCTGCTTGAAATTAGTCCCCCCCCCCGCCCAAGATTTATGGATATGTGTGCAGAGTTATGGGCCCATAGTTTATACATGCAGGAAAGACAATAGAATCATGGAAGGCATCTTAGAGGCCATCTAGTCCAGTCCCACGTGCAGTGCACAATCCTAAAGTATCTCTGGGGAAGGACCATCCAGCCTCTATTTGAAGAATTCTAGCAAAGGCAAATTCAACATCTCCATGTGGCAGCCTGTTTCACTGGCTGACAGTGTGTACAGTCATGAAGTTCTTCCTAATGTCTAGCCTGCACCTCCTCCTCCATCCATCCATCCATCCATCCATCCATCCATCCATCCATCCATCCATCTATGGAAAGAACTTCATAAAGAAGTCATATTGTAAGAAGTCTGTCTGGAGGCTTCATCTCTGTGCTAAAAGGCAGACCACAGGTCTAATACTTTTGTTTATCTTCACACACAGAGATGCACAGGAGAAATTAGTTTAGCACTAAACAACTGTAAGGCTGTTTGGGGATATGATTATTTATTTATTTTAGAAAATGTATATAGGCACCTATCTTACGTGTGAACTCTGGATAGCTAACAACAATCAACAAAAACAATATAATAAAACATCTAAAAATTAAACCAAAAAATCCAAAACCAAACCCAGAATGAAAATAATCATAATACAATCACCAAGGCACTTTATAACAAGCTCAACCATATACACCACACCTGTATGGGGTTTATTTAACAGAAAAGCCAGGTCTTCACAGCCTTCCAGAAGGTCAGAAGGGTTGAGGCCCTCCAGATCTCATGGGGGAGGCTGTTCCATAGGGCAAATACCACACAACTCCTTGGTCACATCAGATGATATTCTTTAATGGAGGCGTCCCTGGAGCACACCTGCCCTGTCAGATCTGGTGGGATGGGCAGGGACCCTTGGAGACAGGTGGTCCCGCAAGTCATCTGGCCATGTGTCATGCAGGGCTTTAAAGGGGTAACCAGCACCTTGAATTGCACCTGAAAGCAATGTAACTTGGTCAACCTTGGTGCATCCAAACTGCATACCACTGCATTCTGATGCAGTTGAAGTTTCCAAGAGTTTTTCAAGGGCAGCCCCATGTACAGCATATTGTAAAAATCCAGTTGGGAAATGACTAAGGCATGAATGACAGTGAGCAGGGCCTCCTGGTCCAGGAAAGGGCACAAGATAGATTTGAGCAAAAGCTCCTCCTAGCTGTGGCTGCCACCAGCTCTTCAGGCAAGAGCTATGAGTTCAGGAGAACTCCCAAACTGTGCACCAACTCAATCTGGGGAAATGCTACCCTGCTGAGAATTAAAGATGCAAAATCCCTAGGTCCAAGGAACCTCAAATCCCTGCTAGAGTTGAGTTGAAACCTGTTCTTCCCCATCCAGTCCCTCACACCCTCCAGGCATTTGATAAGCACCTTGATGGCATTACTTGTTCAGCCAGGGGTGCAGATATATAACAGTATCATCAGCATACTGATATTTTACCCTGTGTCAATGGATGTCCTCATCCTGTGGGTTCATGTAGATGTTAAATAGGAATAGAAACAGAGCAGAGCCTTGAGGCATCTCACAGAGAAAGGCCAAGGGCTCAAACTCCCCCTCCACACCAAACTGACTGGAACCAGCCCTGGAGGAAGGAGAACCACTGCAAAACAGCATCCCCACTACTAATCCCATAAGCTAGTCCAGAAGGATATTATGATTGATGGTACCAAAAGGTGCTGAGAGATCCAGGAGGGCAAAGATGGATGTACCACCTGCATCCTAGGACCTCCAGAGGTCATACATGAGCATAACCAATGCAGTCTCCGCACTATAATCTAGCCTGAACCCTGAGTGAAAAAGGTCCAGATAATCCACATCCCCCAGAACCTTTTGAAACTGAGTGCTTACCATCCTTTCAACAACCTTCGCTGAAAATGGAGGGTTAGAGACTAGACAAAGGTTATCCAACACTGCTGGATCCAAGGATGGTCTCTTGAGGAGGGGATGGACCAGTGTCCCTTTCAAGGCAGGTGGAACCACTCCCTCCTACAAAGAGGCATTTGTGGAGTCTTTGGTGTTCCCTGAGCTTGGTTGTTTTCTTGCAAACATTTCATTACCCAGCTAGATAACATCTTCAGTGCTAGAATGGAATGGGGTTTGCTCTCTGTTTACATATAGTGGCATGCCCTGCCAGTGTTAGTGGGGGTGGGGGTTTTGTTTTATTTTTTCCCCCTCTGGTAGTTCCTTGATTAGGGT